CCGAATCTGTGGCGCTTCTAGTTTGGGAAGGTTTTAGAGAATATCCGTTCTCCTGCCACAGAGAAGTTGCTTGAGGCAGCTCATGACGGAAAACGTAGTGAAAGCTGGAAAGAACCCCGACTAGAGGATGGAATGTTCTGAACCTTGAAACCAGTTTCATAAGGCATTCTCCAGGATGTCAAAACGATTCCAAAAGATCAGCACCCTCAACTGAGGAGGAGAGTGTGGGCCTGGCTCCTGGGGAGTGTGGCCGCCTTGGCCCCAGGGGGAGGAGGGGGCCCCCTCCACAGAGAGAGCCCCGCCTGTGCCTGCCACCTGCCCCCCCCCCACCCTGCTGTAGGGCCGCGTGGCAGGAGGGGGCAGCCCTTCAGGCCTCATGGGGCCCCTTCCAGCCTCCAGAGGCCTTCAAGGCAAGGGTCAACCTGGAAGCAGCTGGGCCCCGCCCACACCGTGGTGTCAGACCCCCCCACCCCTGGCAGGTAGCCCGGCTGGCTGCTGCATTTGGAACCCGCTGAAACCTCTGGGCAGTTTTCAGAGGCAGCCTCCCAAAGAGCGCATTGCAGCAGGTGCACCTGCCTTGGATCAGAGCAGCCGGTAACTCTATGATGACTGAACAGTGGAAGCAACTTGTAAATATCCCAACAGGTCTCCATAGCCAAGCCACACTCTCTGAGGAGGAAATGTATCTGGTGCATCAGCCAAAGCGGACGAAAGGTGCTACATGCTTTATAGGGGACCTGGGCCACCCACCGTAGGCCGTGGCCCAGCAGCAGCAGCACCCCCAAGCCACAAACCAGCCCCTTCAGGGGGAACGCGGTCCCCTCCAGGACAGGCTGGCTTCTCAATCCCTGAGCAGCTTTTCCATTGACCAGCAGCACCCCCGTCTTGTCTGGACTGAGCTTCCGTTTATTGGCCCTCATCCATCCCATGCCTTTCTCCAGGCACCTGTTCAGGACCCCACTGGTGGACCTCCTGATGGCACCTGGTGTTTCTGGCCACTGTGTGACAGAGAGTGTTGGACCGGATGGGCCTTTGGCCTGATCCAACATTGGCATCTCTTATGTTCTTATAACCTCCACAGATCCACTCGACTCAGCTGTTAAGGAAAAGTAGGGCAGGATGTGAGCCGCATATTAAATCCCCAGATCATCTGGCTCAGCAGTTTCACATAGACCAGAGGTGTCAAAGATGCGGCCTGTGGGCCGGATGAGGCCCTCAGAGGGCTCCTGTCCTGCCCGCAGGGAACTGGCTGTCTCCTGCTTCTTTCTCCAGTTCTGCTGCTGCTGCTGCTGAATCGCAGCTTGCTTTACCAGGCTCTCTCAGTCGCACAGGAGAGATAGATAGGCAAACGTCTGTTCCCTGCACTAGCTGAGGCTCCTTCCCCACCCCCCCGGGGGGAGGGAGGGAGGGAACGAGACAGAGCTTGCTTCCTGGCCAGGCTGCCTCAATCACACAGGAGACAAAGGCAAGCCTTTCTTCCCTTTCATTGGCTAAGGCTCCTCCCCTTCCTCCTGCCTTGCTTTGTTCAGCTGCCTCAATCACAGGGGAGAAATACCAAGCACCTTTAAGAACAACTAAGTTTTATTCGAGGTATATAAGCTTTTGTATGCCTTGCTACAGTGTATGTTTTGTTGGGCTCCTTCTGCCAGGGTTCTCCTGGGTGCAGCTGGGTTCCCCTCCTCTTTCCCCACTGTATTCATGCCCTGTTTAGGTGAGGAATAACAACAAGCCAGTGAGGTGGACTAAGCTGAGAGTGTGTGTCCAGAACAAGTTCACCCAGCACATTTCTTTTGAAAAAATGTTTTGAACCTAGACTTCCCAGATAGCAAGCTGATCCTGACCACTATACACAGTTGTCTCTCTGTTCTTGCACTGCCTCATAGGAGTTGCAGTTATTTCTCTGGCGAGGACTACAGTTTTGTAGACAAACACATAGCCTTCAGTCTGTTTCAGGATGCCTTCTCATGTTCTTGACCAGCGCATGAAACAATTTATGTACAAAAGTTCGCAGTGCCCAGCCATTTCATGTTTTCCCCAGGGTTCTAGGCTCAGAACACAGAGCATGAGATTTCTGTAATGAATGTCAATAAATCAAAAGTAGGCTTGATGCAACAATTCAGAGCAGGAGGTGTCAATTATCAAAGAACAAGAGATTGGATTTATACCCTCCCCCCCCCCAACAGACACCCTGTGAGGTAGGTGGGGCTGAGAGAGCTCTGACAGAAACTGCTCTTTTTCAAGAACAGCTCTTATCAGAACTATGGCTTGCCCAAGGTCATCCAGCAGCTGCAAGTGGAGGAGGAGTGGGGAATCAAACTCAGTTCTCCCAGGTTAGAGTTCACGCACTTAACCACTACACCAAACTGGCTCAGAGGCTGTTAAACAAAATATTGCAAGAGTGCTAATGTTTTAAACAGGTTTTATTTAACAAGTTTTTAAAAATCTTTAACTGTGTTTGTGCCCTTTATAAAGTTTATATCTCCGCTACCTGGCATTACGTTTTGAGACACCCGTGGCCCAGCCCAACAAGGTCTCATTTATGTCAGATCTGGCGCTCATATGACTTTGACACCCCTGAGTCGTAGACATTCTCAGGGCTGGTCAGCAGTCCCTCAGCCCCACCTTCTGGAATTGGCCCGCTGTTGCAAGCGGAAGTATCCGGTGCTGCCCACTTCCAGAAGGACCGGGGACCAAAACCGTTTGCATCCCACAAACACGGGCCTTTGTGTCTCTGCGGTGAGGGTCTTTCTGCGCCCTTTCTGAGGCAGCTCCAGGCAGGCGCCCCTCATTACAGCAAAGTGTGCCCAGCCTCCCCGGCTCCCATGGATGAGAGAGACCCCAAAACAGCGGTTCTCAACCTGTGGGTCGCGACCCCTTTGGGGGCCTAAGACCATCGGAAACCACAATTTTTCAATGGTCTTATGATAGCAACGAAAATTATTTTATGGTTGGGGGTCACCACAACATGAGGAACTGTATTAAAGGGCCGTGGCATTAGGAAGGCTGAGAACCACTGCCCCAAAAGGTGTACCAAGGGGTTAGGGTTAGGGTGCGACCTGATGCTGGGGATTCTGGCTGCAGAATGGGGGAGTGGCTTTTCCCCCAGGTTTCTAAAAAGCACAGTAAGGCAGCACGGTTTCAGGAGCCCCTCGTTCAGTTTGCTCTGGAATTGTGGTGGGCAGTTCTTGTCAGTGTGAGAGTCATTGTTTCTGCTGTGTTATACTTGCAGTTGCATGTATTTCGGGGTGTGCCGTTGGCCCGTGTTTTTGCGGGAGGAACCCATGGCATTCGTTGTGCCAGTTTGAAAGGCTGTTCTTTGCTTTCCCCCTCCATCCATGCAGAGTTGAGCAGAGAGGGAAAGTGGAACAGGGTTCTGAATGCCCTCCGGGCCGGCATTTCACCTGGACTGTCTTCTTGGCAATGAAACGGGTTTGGCCAGGCAGAGCGTGGCTGGTCGAGAGAGGACGTGGCCCCGAGTGTGTTCTGGAGCCTCCTCGCAGGAGTGGGGGGGGGGATTGCTCAGAAGGGTGGAAATCCTGCCGCCACCCCCAGTCAAAGGCAAAGGGCCCACCTGGGGGAGGGTGGTTTTTTTTTTGATCACTGTGGGCCCCGGTCCTCTGGCCTTGTTCTACTGACCAGGGAGGATTGTGAGGCACTCCAAAGGGATCTGTCGAGGATGGGTGAGTGGGCAAATGGGGCTCAGTGTGGCCAAGTGCAAAGTGATGCACATTGGAGCCAAAAATCCTAAAAGCAAGAGGGAATTAGATAAGCATCTGGAGCAGAGGTCTCTCAGTGGCTCTTAGCCACAAGGTATAGACAGGAACTCTTGGTCTGGGGCAAGGGATGCTCTGTCTTCTTAGTGTTTTGGGGTGGGGGGCAACAGTGGGAGGGCTCCTAGTCTCCTGGCCCCACTGCTGGACCTCCTGAGGGCACCTGGTGTTTTTGGCCACTGTGTCAGACAGAGTGTTGGACTGGATGGGCCACTGGCCTGATCCAGCATTGGCTTCTCTCTTATGTTCTTATGACTGACTGCCTGATTCCCCTCTCTGCCCTTGCAGTGCTATCCCGGAGGCTGCGTGAGTATCCGAGCGAGGGAGGACAGCCGCAGGCCGAAGCGCCCCAGACAACCTTGGCAACCAGCCGTCTCTCTGCCGGCCCTCCACTGCGTCCTGAGGAGACACTGCCCAGAGATGCTCCACAGGCCCTGGGGGGGCTCAACCAGTCCCTGGAGGGCAGCCAGCGCCCCCCTGAGGCACAAGCGGCCACCACCGCCAACAGCTCCGCCTCCGACGACCCCTTTCCCCCGCCCACGGGGCTTCCGCCTCCGGAGAAGCCGCTCTTGGGGGACTCGCAGGGCACGGATTTCCTGCCTGCCTCTGTTGAGCGGAAGCAGCCGAGCTGGGTGGACCAGACCACCAGCGTGGTCATCCAGCCACGCCACTCGGATGAGATGTGAGGTCGTGGGAGCAGACCGGCCAGTGCTGTGCCTCCCGGACACTGACTTTGGGCAGAGGGAGGGGGGGCCCCCGCCCGCCCCCCCCAGACAGCTTCATGCAGCACTCCGGAAAGACAGATCTGCTGCCCACAGAACAGCTCCAGCGCTCGCTTGAAGCTTAGGCTGGACTGCGGAAGGGGGCAAGCGGCTCAGCGGGCCCCTGCTTTTGCTGCCTCCTGCGCCTGTCGCTGGCCACGCGCAGCCACGGCCCCCGTTGGAGTCAGCCTTTGAATGCTGCCCCCCTTCTTGGGAGATCTTCCTGTGCCCGACCCCCCGGGCCCCACCACAGCCTGCACTTCAGAGTAGCCTTGCCAAGTGCCCCCACCCCACCCAGCCAGCCACCTCTGCAGGGAGGCGCACCCCGTTCCCCCAGAGGGCCGTGAGGCTCCTGCCTGCTGCTGCTGCCCCACCAGGGCCCCTGCTGCCCTGCTTCATGCCCTCACCGCCCAGGAAGCGGCCTCCCCCCCCCCGCAAAGCTGAGGCAGCCCCCTCCTCCGTGGGGCTGTGGCTGCAGGGAAGTGTAGCTGGGGGGGTGGGGGGCCCCTGCTTTCCATTCTGTTTGGCATTGAGCCCCCTCTGATCTCGGGGAGGGGAGGGGCCTAATGGCAGGGCAAAGGGAGGGGGTCATGGCTTAAAATAAAGAGGGGCAAAAACGTCCTGGCTGGTGGCTGCTGCCTGTGACTTCCTGGCTGTGGGGTGGCTGTTGTCAGGGC